GTTGCAGAAAGTCTGTGGAAGTAAACGTTTTAAGAAAGAATTATGTGGTGTGTGTTAGTAGTGGAAGGTATAAGGCATGGAGATGCAATCTTGGTGGATATCAGAAAGTGTATGAAAGAAAAAGAATAGAGAGTTTGTGAATGTTGCAGAAGGTCTGTGGAAGTGAAAGTTTTAAGAAGCCTGGTAGATATCAGAAGGAAAAGGATTTTCCTTCACACTTTATATTTTTCTCCCTACCTGATCTCTCCAGGATTTGGCATTCTAAAGGAGTAAGTAATGACATAAGGTTTCTTTGCATAAATCTAACAAGACCGGTTGTTAATAGTGGTTATGACTTAATTGTGCCTTCCAACTCTTTCCAAATCTGTCATCTCCAGAATATGACCAAAAAATGAATGAATCCAAATGGCATTATAGCATTTAACAATGCACTGCCCTCCTTTTGAGTCCGACAGTTTATTAACACCTGGTTGCACTTATGGTTTAATCAATACTACTTTAGAATTAGTCCAACAGGCTCAAATAGATCAGGAGATCCTGACCCGCCTTTCTGCAGTTGAATCAGCACTGGACTGGATTGGCGAATGCCAGGACGCTCTCGTGACTCGTCAGCACCTAACCTGTGACCCTGGTTTCTCCAGACTGTGTGTCACACCGCTACAATGGAATTCCAGCCAACATACTTGGACTGATATACAACATCGCTTGAGGGGAGCTTTCTCCACTAACTTAAAAGGACAAATTGATAAATTGCAGTTGGAGTTACATCATCAGCTGCAGGACATTCAATGTTTAAACCAAACAGGACATTTTTCAAGCCCTTAATGAAAATATTAATTGGCTGAATCCTAAAACATGGTTTGATGGAATTAATTTGAGAATTTGGGTTTTTGGAGCTGCTGGTTGTTTACTGATTGTGATATTGATTTGTGTACTTCGGTGTATTTGCAAATTGTTTTCCCAGGGTCGTATCAGAGACCAGCAAGTAGCCACTTAGCAGTCCTAACTGAAAACAAGGGAGAAGGTATGAGAAACCATTCTGGCAGACGTAAAATTAAAACTCAACACCCACGTAAGAAAGTAGGTGATGAGTCGGTGCGCAGAACTGCACCTGTTAAGAAATCCTCTCGTAAGAAGTCAGGCTTGCATTATGCTCAAACTGCCATGTGATTTGCCTTTCCTGATATCTATGTAATTTCTCACAAAGATTGAAATGTAATCAGACCTATTACTTTTGTTTTTCCCTTAATATGTTTTCTTGCACTGAATTTAGAAATTTAGGTATGCACAACCCATAGAATTTAGTTTCTGCTTTATATTTCTATTATTGCCTTATGATGTATGTAGATGTTGCTTTTCTTCTGATTTGCATTCGAAAACAGCAAAAGTAGGTTTCACAGGCTTAACAATCACAATTGATTTTAAAAACTAAAAAAGGGGGAGATGTTGGGAACCGCCCTGACTGGTATCAGAAGCTGAAACCCCCGCCTAGCTAAGGCTAAGGGAACGCCCTTGGAACCGTAAGCCAGCAAGGAGACAAAAGCTTATCTTCCTGGCAGGAATGCTGCTTCTGCTGCTTTATTCATGACTGAACCCCCAAAAGCTTGGTCGGTTAGCCAAAGACGGGTAAGATTCCCCACGGGGGGAGCGACCTAAGACAGGCACGATCACTTTGGGAGGCCCCCCAAAGAAGGACTTGGGGGGGCTGCAGCAAAAGGGGGGTGATGGACCCTCGCTCCTCGGCTTTGACATAGCCTGAGTTCTCATCGTCTGGGAGAAAATCTCCTTATCTCTTGGTTACCTAGTTCCCTTGCTCCACCTAAGCCTGAAACAATGACAGGGTGGTGCAGCTCGGTACTGAGAAGTGCGGATTTCCCGGGGTGATCAGGCCTAAGAAAGAATATGTAAATTACTGTGAAACCTTCTTTGTTTAGAATGCTCTCAGCTGAATGAGAAGGGTCTTAGGAGGAAGTTAGTTTGTTCCTCAGCCTTACAGCTCTTTGACCCCCAACTCAATAGACCGGCAGAGTTCTTTGTTTTCTATAGTTCCTTACTTCCCCCTAATGAGTATTGTCCTTTACCTGAATTATTATGCAAAATGAGCCCAATAAAAGCAGGTACGGACGGTGAAATCAGCGCGCTCCCCACTAGGGGGGGTGGCCATTTCGTCCCTACTTCCCCACAGAAACTAGTTTGTCTCTGTGCATGTGGTGTTCTTTCTCGCGTGTTTATCGTCGAGCCATCCACAGCGTTCCGTGGTCACTGCTGGCCGGTGGCCCACGCGCAACACATTGATGAGTAGCTGATCCAATGTTAGTAACCATCTACCTCCCACTCCTTGCTCTATACAAAAGATAAACCCCCTAATTTGTTTAAACCACTGTTATTGAGTATTCAGTTACTAACATCTGAAAAAATCTAACCAATGCACCCAGTTACTTTAACATTTTCCTTCAAGGAAACTCAAACAGAACTAAATTATTGACACCTGATCATTTATACTTATGCTTATTTATGGAAGACTATTAGATTTTTGGAAGAAACCCAGAGAATAATCATCTTCATTTAAAAGGTTTGGTCATTTTAATTGTAGAAGAGGAGAGGGGCCACCTGTAGTCACAATGCATGGTACAAGTTTGGAGTGATGTGTATTGGGATAACTTCTTTATGACTAAATATCACACTGGGAGTTGGGAGGTCTGGGTTCAGATTAGATGTTCAGCTAAATATGTGACCATGAACATATAGTCATTTCTGAACTTATTTCTTCATCTGTGGTACAATTTGTAGGATGTTTTCTTTGAAAATAACAGAAAACGCAACTTAAAAATGGCTTAAACGATAAGGAAATTTATTTCCTTGTATGATGGGAAAGTGTAGAAAGTCAGCTAAACGAGGGATTGATAATGTCATTGAAGACATCTCCACCCTGCTGCTCCTCGGTTCCACCTTTATCTTAAGTCTGACTACCCTTGAGACTGCAAGATGTCTAATGACAACAATTGAGGCTTTATACACCTCTTTACTCAAGGTCAGTGCCATGATTGGGGGTTGAGGGAGTGGGGAGAAAGATAATTTCCTATTAGGAGGAAAATCCTGAGTTTTGTGCTGATTGGAAGACCTTGAACCACTCAAGGCCAGTGACCGAGGAAAGCCAAGAGCTGATCATTAGGCCAACTATTGTGGCAAGGGAGCTGCATTTATTAGTTAATTAACCAGGGCCCATCTCTACAGGTGAGATGGTTACAATCCCACCCTAAACCCAGAGTTGCTACCTCATGGTGGGAGGGGTAGAATGGCTCTTGGGAGAGCAACCACCACATTCCCAGCATCTATAAATGACTGATTTGGACTAACTGACCTCTAAGGCTCTTTCCAGGTAGTGATTCCATGAGCAGGGTGCAAACCTATCTTTGCAGCTGTGTTTTTTATTCAACTCCACTTTCTTTTAAAATTGTCTGTTTCTACCTCTGAACATAGCCTCTGTGGAAAGTAACTCCAAAATGAAGTTGACAAATCTTGGCAAAGCTCAGACTGGATCTGGGGAGAGGAAGTGAAGGTAACAAGGTGACTCATGAGGGTCACTGTGCACTTCAGGGCAGCATGGAATGATGCCTTATTCATTAGGCACCAGGCAGACATGCTAACTTGGGATGAGTGACTTAGAACTGTGGGATCCTCAATGGATGTGATGTTTCTCAGACTCTAAAGCTCCCTTCTCTGGTGAATGCACAAGCTCTTTGGGAAAGGAGGACAACCTTCTCATAAAATTATATTTTCCCCCTGATTTGCATTTTTAAAAGGTTTAGTACTCAAATCCTTAACCCTGGCAAATCTCTCAGCCTCTTGAGGGCGTGGTCAAGGGCTTGCAAAAAAACGTTTCTTAATAGAAAATAGGCCATGGGTCTCCACCCACTCCATACACTTTGGTAAATATTAGCTTTATTTTTTAATTACTGCACTGAGAATTTTACCAGATGATTTCTAGCAGCTTACTTATGAACTAATTGGGCACTTCTGCTGTGCAGAGAAACAGACTTTTTTTTTATTAGTCCTCAACTGAGGCATATACCTGTCTGATGGCATTGGCTCATTCTGCACATGCTCAAACAAAAATTTTCCTGTTGAATACAACCTAGTACAGCGACAACACCCAGAACCTCACTCCTTGCCTGACCCTGTGCATACTCCTTCTAGTTGTATTTTTATGCTGAATTGCGTAACACTTACAGGAGTAGAGCAGAGTAGGTCCTGTGGCCTTGGTGGGGGAGGGGAATTTACAAAGGGGCTTGAAGTCCCTGTTTGTCCTCACCTTCCTGACCTCTCTCTAGGCTGTTTGTAGTAGGGGCAGGGGCTGGATAATTTGTTGAGTTTGGGCAGAATGCGGGAGAAGTTGTCTGTATAAATTGTCATTTGCTGTTGCACACCTTCCTGGACAGTTTTTGTTTGGTCCTTTATTTGTAGGTTGACGACCCCCCTTTCCCCAGCCCTCATTTTCAGTAAAGAATGGCAGTGGCACTAAAAGCATCTGTCGCCTAGCACTGTCTGGAGTGACAACCTCTCTATCTTTCTTCTAGCTTTCCCATTCATTAGGACTCTTTCCCAGCAAAAACTGCTACAGGATTCCTGTGATTACAAAAGAAGTGGGTGGGGAGCGCCGGGATTCCAAGCCTCTCGCTGCAGATAGCTGAAAATGTGAGTACGGTCCTGGACCTTTGGTCTCAGCCCCTTCCGAGGTTTGGTCCGGAGGTGACAACCCCGACCAGCCCCCACCTACACAGATGCAGCCCGCGCTGCCCGCGGGCCACTCCCCACCCCTTCAAAATCCCCTTCACCCTTCCTTTCGCTGTGACGTGTCCCGCGGAGCACGCATGCGCGGCTCAGATCCGTTGCCTTTCCCTGGGCCACTGGTTTCCCGACGGGCTGGAGTGGGTGGGGCCTGTGAGTCCGAAGGCCGCGCAGGAGGAGGGCGTGTGTGCGCTAGGCGGGTGCACGGTGCTGGCAGGCTAGTCCGGGCTAAGGCAGAGGAGGAGGAGCTGAAGGCCGCAGCCGTGGCTCCCGCCTTCACGGAGAACCAGTCCTGCGAAGCCTCCTCCCACTCCCAGGCGGGCGGTGGCGGCGGCGGGAGGAGGAGAAGGAGGAGGGAGCGTCTCTGCCGCCGCCTCCTGGTCCCCAGCGCCGATCTGCCGCCGCCACCTCCCTCAGCAGCGTTCCTCCCTCCATGGTCCTGCAGCGGCCCCCCCTGTAGCCCGAGCTGCCCCGCGCCGCGCCAGAGCCAGCCCCGGTGGAGGGAGCGGTCGCGGCCTCGTGGCCCCCGTGGGCTGACGAGCGGAGAGCGCGGCGACGCGCCGTCCTAGAGGATCCGCACGCCGGGCCCAGCAGAGCGAGGAGCAGCGGGCGGGCGGGCGGGCGGGCGGCGCCGGGCCCGGGCCGCCCTCACTCTTGAGCCCCGGCCCCGCCGCCCGCGCCGGGTCGGTAGCCCACAGAGGAAGGCGCCGCAGTTTCTGGGCCTTGTGGCCCCACTCAAGCGTCCTCAGCACTGAAGGCTCGCGGGTCCTGAGCGGAGAAGGCAAGCCAGGGAGCGGGCACCGAGCTCTTTAGCGCCCCCACCCCCGTTTTCGGAGCCCTCCACGCTGCGGCCGCTGTCCCCTCCGGACCATGGCCGACGACGACGTGCTGTTCGAGGATGTGTACGAGCTGTGTGAGGTGATCGGCAAGTGAGTCTCCACGCGAGGGAGCGGGAGTGTGGGAAAATGCATTTCAGTGATGTCCGGGTCCTCCCACACCCATACCAGCTCAGGGCCTGACCCCTGCCCTCCACCCCCTCCCCCGCCTTCGTCCTCCTCACCCCGGAGTATTTATAGACGTGTACCTAGACCTCCTGTTGGGTGGGGTTCTGGGGGGTTCCCAGAGATCGGTGGAGGCCAACGAGCCAAGAACAGCCATCCCATGAGGCATGGGGCCGGCTGAAATCTGCTGTCTGCATTTATCTGACGGTTGCACAGGGACGTGGCCGAACCGATTTTATAGTTGCTTCCCGGGAACAGCTGGGGTTATTGTTACCTTGCGTATGCCGTAGACCATTAACAAAAAGAGCAGCTTGCATTTCCTTTGCTGGTGTGGAGAGAAAGAGAAAAAACATCCAGGGTTTTTAATTGTGGGGTGTGTGTCTATTGTGCAGGTTATTAGATAGATGCCTTTGTGTTCACCCAATAGCCGTATTGGAGGGGGTCATTTAAGACGGGGTGCGTTCAGTTTCAGCAAATTCTTCACCTGGTGTAGACAAACGTGGAATGAGTTGGGGGGATCGGAATTTTTAATGCCTCGTTATGCAATGACTGTAAAATCAGTGTTCGAGGCTTCCCTTGACTGTTGTTGGGATGGTGGTTAGTGTGGTAGAGCCGTCTGGTTTGAGTCACTGGGCTAGTCTAGAATATAGAACTGACAGTCCAAATGCTCATCCTTTCATCTGTGTTGTACAATTACACTAGGGAAAATCAGGGAATCAGATTAATCACAGTGCTGATTGAGAATTAAATCTGCAGTTCTTCATCTAATTGTCCATTTCTTAAATCTGTTTTGAATAGTTTCCTTTTCATTCTTGTCAAACCGAATGCCAAGTGCACAATCCTGCTGATTTGCTTGTGAGGGAAATGCTGGCAATCTGAAGTTGATTTCCTAGTTCAGTGTGGCTTTCGAAGTTGAGGAGATAAGATTTAAGAGCAATTTTAGATTATTTAGGGATTGCTAGAGAGCTACTATTGAAACATTTTACCTCTTTTTGGAAGTGGTGCTTTATTGTCTATTTCAAGATCCCAACTTGGGAAATGAAACCAAGACTTTAGAGCAGTTGGCTCTTTCTCTTTTAAGTTGTCTGCAATGCTGGATTTCAATTTGTTTAAGTGCTGATAACTCATTTTTCCCCTCCCATGTTGAGGTATAACTGTTGCCTCACCTGGTGATTGTGGGTAGACCTTGCTACACACTTTCCTCAGACTGAATTGATAAGACGACATGTTACTCCTTGCCCCTATTGTTTGTTACATGACCAGCCTGTCTAGTAGAAGAAGGATATCCAAATGTGCCCCTTGTGAAGTGATTGTGGAAGTGCTCAAGAGCAACACTGTCTAAAAGACAAAGAATGCAAGCCATATATGTAATTTTACATATGTAAATTTTCTAATAGCTACATTTAAAAGATTAAAAGCAGGTGCAATTAATTTTAATAAAATATTTAACCTCATAGATTCAAACTATTACCATTTCAACATGTGATCAGTGTAGAAATTATTAAGGAGATATTTTACAGCCTTTCTTAGTCTTTGAAATCCAATGTGTATTTTACACCAATAATACATGTCAATTCTGACACTAAGCTAAATTTTCATAGGAAATACCTGATCTGCATTTAGGTTTCATAAAATTTGCATTTGCAACAGTAGATTCACATACCCAAGTTTTTCCAAGCATATCTAAAAGTTTTCCAATAATGGAATCAAGTATCTCTTTCTAAATTTAAATTTAAATTTATTAAAACTAAATAAGATTAAACATTCAGTTCCTCTGTTGGACTAGCCACATTTAAAGTGCTCAATAGCCGTATGTGAATAGCACAGTTTAGAGAGGCAAATATATTTTTTAAAATCCCCTTGGTTTTTTCATTCTTCACACCCAGTAAAGGCGATTAGGTGTTTCCTCAAAGCCCCCAGATGATTGTGTGTCTGTGCATGTGGGTGAATGTTGTTTGTTATGTCTTAGTTATATTTGATTTAAATGAGCCAGCAATGTCATAATTTGGAACTGTGAAATTAAAATGTTAATTACATAGTGATGACAGAATATAGCCATCATTGAATTCATGTTAGTTACTAGTTCTGATTCCTTAAGGTCTGGAAGAGTTATGATATTGCTCTTTGGATATCTAAAAGAAGTGATCAGCTTCACACTAGCACAGCAAATATTCTGCTGATTTATAATTGATAGAATATCAATTATAAATTGATATTCTGATAGGACTAAATTAATCTCTTCTGTTGATTCAGAGCTGCGTAATCAGGGAGAGCAAGCTAATTTTGAGGTGATAGGTACTCTATGGCCACCTTAACTACTGTGAACATGAACTCTCATTCATAGCCTACAAAATCTGACTTGGTCAGTGTCATTTATGTCACTCCATGAAATAATGAATTCAAGGTGGCCTTCGTGGTAAAGAATGTAATGATGGTGTTCCTTGCCCTGTGTAAAGGTTGAAGGTTTCTCTGGTAAATTGTCTCGGCATATATTGATCTGGAAATTGAAATTCACTTGAAATTTTCTTGCAGGGACCTTGCTTGACAGCATACATTTTAACTTAGAATTTGTTCAATTTTGGATTCAAACAGAAAGGCCTTGAAGATGTTCATTTGTACTGAAAAGATTTTTGTTGATTTTTATCCAAGTTCTTTGAAACTGTGATTTTCTCTTATGCCAAATTAGTATTGCAAGTTTGTTTTAACCCCTAGGTCTTAATAGGTTTAAGTTTTCACTAAGGTACTTTATTTTTTTATTGAATTTGTTGGGGTGATATTGGTTAATAAAACCATACAGGTTTCAATTATACAACTCAATAAAACAACATCTGCATAATGCATCATACACCCAGAGTCAAGTGGCTATCCATCCAAATTTATCCCCATTTGCCCACTTCTACCTCCCTCCAACCCCCCTTTCCCTCTGGCTACCACCATACTGTTGTCCATGTCTATGTGTCATATATATAAATTTCATTTTTCAAGATCAGCTCACCAGTCAGTCCTTCCCCTACCTCACTACCCCCATCTATCTTCAAAGGAATCATGTGCCTGAATCCTTATGAATATTGAAAGAATGCTATCTCTTTAAAAAAATTTTAAACTCTTTTCCCATGCTTCTTATTTTTTGAATTCTTACAAAAAACTCCTTTGAATGCCTGTTGTTTTCGTAACATTTTGCTACACAACATCTTTCAAGCAATGATGGCACCTTACCATAGTCCCCAAACTTTGTTTTAGCAAAATAGCAATTACTGGAAAGGAAAGTTATTATACAAATATAGGTAATTGGCTAATTTTTGTCACAATCAGTTACTGTATCTTTTGCAAATTTAGTTTTATGGGTAAGTGTACAATCAATAATGTGACATGAAGGAAATTTTATGATTCATCCAAATTAAAACAGAAACGACTACCTTCATAGTACAATAGTTTCCGTGAAAGAGAATAGCAAAATACACACTGTTTTCACCTTGTGTAGGCTGAATACTTGCCTGGGTATTCAGTAACCTGTAACTTCTGGCTTTCCTGCTTTGGTAGAACACATACTAAAATTGGAATACTGTAGCATGACCTGGGCTCAAGGATGACATATAAGGCATGCTGTATTTGCGAAGTATGCTATATTTGCTTACACCTCAGGAACACTCTATCATATTTAATTACAGTTACTTATTTATGAGTCTCTCTATCTACTTAATAGGGAGTTTCTTGAGGGCAGGGGACATATCTTGCACATCTCTCTCTATTACTGAACACAGGTTCTGTAGTGTAACAGTCATTCATTAGCTATAGAATGAATTGAGTAGTTTTAATAAAATCTCATTAAAAGGCAAAAAAAAGCCTATTTATCAATCTCAGAGCAATTATTGTCCCAAAAGGCTATATGAGTTTAAAGTAGTGGTTCTCCACCTGACTGCATATTGGAATTACCAGGGGAGCTTTTTAGACAGATCAGTTGCCATGCCCCTGTGTCAGAGCAATGAAATCAGAATCTCTGGGAATGGCTTCTGGTCATTGATAATTTTGTAATGCTCTCTAAATGATTCTAATATGCAGCTACAATTGAGAGTCACTGGTTTGTGTATGTAGTATTTTGGAATTGGCTTTTCAGAGGCTTATGGTTTTTAAAAAATGGAATGAACATTTTTGGTGGAGGTATTGAAACCGAAAGAACAAAACATGGATTTTATTTTCTCTACACTGTGTTTCTGAGCCTTGTTCAGTAAGAATTTTGTTGCAGCCTGTTTTTGGCTTTGATTTCTTGAGTGTTTTTAAGATTCACACTGATTCATGACACTCATCAAATGATAGCATGGTGATTGTCTGATGTTTGGAACAACACAGAACAAGAATTGCTTCAATAACAGTTGATGATGGCTATCCACTAGGATGACTCAATTTAATAATAAGAAATATATCAATTTAAAATAGATTGTGTTTGTACATACACTCACTTGGGAGTATGGTTAAGTGGCTTATATACTCTAAAGCCCATATTTGTGATTCCAATAATGTTAGTTACCAGAAAATTGAATTAAATGCAGCCTTTATGTAAATACTGGATTAATAATGTGTAAATATGTAATTTAACAGAGAAAAATTAAGCTTTACTATTTTTACTAATTACTTTGACTTTCACATATATCAATTGGCCCACTGATTTGGTTTGCTAGTATCACGGTGATGGGGGGGAGAATATTATGTTATGTTAGAACATCTTTCCTAGAAATTTTATTTAGACATTGTAAGTAAACTAGTTTTTAATATTAGGAAGATGTCACGTGTGAGCCTGAAAGAATGAGGAATTGTCCATAAATGAGTAGCTATTCCATAAGGAAGTCCTTGATTAAGTGACAGTCATATAACAAAGTAAAAGAAACACAATCACCAACTAAGCTGCTAGTGGCCCAGAAGGATCCAAGCTG